CAGAGATTTCGAGTTATCCCGATCCGATTTTGTCCCGATCTTCGCGTCGTTTTACACCCCCTGGCGCGGACACCCCGGTCCGGACCCCCGGCCGGACCCTCGGGCCCGGGCCCTTCCGGTTTGGACCCCGGTCCGGACCCCTGGGTCTGAACCCCCCCTGCAGGTCCCCCCGATCCGGGCCCTCCCTGGTCCAGACCCCCTCCGGACCCCCCCGTCATCCCCGGGCCGGACCCCCGGAACACGATCCACGAAAGGGATGGTGTGGCGGGGGGGGGGCGCATCGGGTTGGCTGCGCGTGCTCCACATGTGGAGGCAGAGTGCCTTTTGTAATGATTTGTTGGCAGGGACGGTGGGTGGGGCCTCATGGTGTCATCATTGTTCCGGGTTGGCTGCCGGCTGGGTGGTGGAGGGGGTGCATACTAATAGGGAACAGTGATCAGGCTTCCCTCTCAGATAGCAAGCTGTCTAGCTCACTGCCACTCCCTCTCCTAACACATGAGTAACACCCGAGCCTCAGCATGTTCAGCGGTCGTCTTTGGATGGACAGCTACTGGGAGCCAGAACCGAGCCCATGTGCGCGACGTTGGGGCGCGGTGCACCACGCGTGCCAGGCGCGCCACGCGCGGCAGGCACCCCTGGGGCCCGATCGTGCCAGGCACGCCTGGTGCGCCAGATGCGCCACGTGCCTCCGCGTGTGCCGCATACTCCAGCCGCGCCAGGTGCGCCAGGTTCGGGGCACGCGCAGGATGTGTCAGGTTTGCCTGCGCACGTGATTGCACACATCGGGAAGCATGTCGGCCCCACCATCCTTGTCGAAAACCAGAGCCCATCACTGTGTCTGGTGGGCCTGCGCAGAGGCCATGCGCCACCACCCCCGGCGTCCCTGTCGAAAACTAGTTGGCGGCGATCGCGGGGTGGCCACGCATGATCCAGACATAGCCGCGAGGTGCATTTTGTATGGTTTTTCGTCAGGGATGGTAGCCCTGCGCTCAGCAGGGAATATGCTGACACCCCCGAAGTCCCCCTCAAAAACAATACAAAATGCCCGCGGGCCTCACGAACATGACTCCAGACTTTGCTCCAACGTGTGCTTTGTATAGCTTTTTTGAGAGGGATGGTGGGGGAGGGCGCGTTTGGTTTTCCTGCGCATGCTCCGAATTTGGAGGCAGAGTGTGTCTCGCATTGTTGCCAGAATGGGCACGAGCCCAGGGTTTTCTTTTTGTAAGTAAACCTGTACCCCGGTGCGAAGTTCGAATAGGGCCAGCGAGTTATTTTTGCGATAAACATCGAGGTCGAAGAGGGCCGGCTTTTTTATATGTGAGGATGTCCCGAGCGAAGCGCTTGTTTTGCAGAAATTGTTGAGGATGTCTCGAGCGAAACGCTTGCTTTGTGTTCTAGATTCTCCGTCTCCTGGGGACTGGAATTCAGAGGATCTCTCAAGTGAAATGCTTGTTTTCACGTGCCCAGGTCTTGAGGATGTCTCGAGCGAGACGCTTGGTTTCACGCGTCCAGGCTGCCCAGGCAGATGTCTAGCATGAGGATGTGTTGAGGCTGTCTCGAGCGAGACGCTTGTTTGCACGTGTCCAGGTTGCCCAGGCGGATGTTAAGCATGAGGATGTGACGAGAATGTCTTGAGCGAAACGCTTATTGAATCGCTTCGCTCATTCCGCCGGCCCGTGATATGGCATCGCTGGTTTTTGTCTGTGTGTTCGTTGCCCATGTTGCGCTCTTGGGGGCGGGTGTCGTTCGGACGCGTTGCGTGGGGAGTTTTGATGGTGAAGCAGTTCCCTGGGGGTCGTCTCTCGATGGGGCGAAATAGAGTCGTCGTCAAGATGCTTCTTTGGGGGGCCTCTTGGGGTCTGTTGAGAGGCCGTTCGGGGGCGCCTGGGAGACATGTTTGAAGCCTTCTGGGGCTTCTTTTGGGCCTCCTGGGAGTCTCCTGGGGCCTCTTGGCGACATCTTGGGGCCTCTTGGAGGCCTCTTGGGGCCTCTTTGGGACCTCCTGGGCGCCTTCTGGGACGGAGGGCTCCATTTTTGAGTTCTCGGTATCCCTCCTGAGTCCCTCTTGGGCCCGTCTTGGGGCCTCTTGGTCCGTCTTGGGCGGCACTTGGGCCGTCTTGAGGGCTCTCTTGGGTCGTTTCGGCGCCGTCTTGGGAGCTTCGTGGGCCGTCTTGGAGCGGTCTTGGGGGCCTCTTGGGCCGTCTTGGAGCGTCCGGAAGCCGAAAAAGCCAGAACACAAAAAACATAGAAAAAACAAATGAAAATCAACGATTTTGGCCTCTTGGGGCTCTCTTCGGAGGCCTCTTGGAAGGCTCTTGGGGCGTCTTGGAGGCCTCTTGGGCTGTCTTGGGGGCCTTTTGGGCCGTCTTGGGGTCATCTTCGGCGTCTTCGAGCGCTCTTTGGGCGTCTCGGGGGCCTCTTGGGCAGTCTTGGGGGCCTCTTGGGGCACTCTGAGCGCGCTCTGGGGAGCCTGAGAGGCCGCACCCAGAAGGAAAACCATCTCTGAGTAGACTTGGTCGGGCGGCGGTCGGGCGGCGACTTTTCGCACCCCCAGGGGCCGCCCCGCGCGCGCGAACTAGAAATACTGTTAATACTGTTAACCAGTTACCGGAGATCTTAGCACGCCCTGGCCCGTTGGGCCGGCGAATTTTCACGTGTCCAGGTCGCCCAGGCACAGCACAGCCTTTGGCACGGTACATCGAGATCGATACATTCAGCATTGCAACTTGGCGCGTCCCTTCTCGTCAAGGGACGCGCCAGGTTGCAATGCCCCGTGGCACGTCGCGCGGCGCGTCCCCGTGGAGAGTCCCCCTTGCACGTCGCGCGGCGCGTCCATCCCGCGGCACATCCATTGGCACGTTCCGTAGCGTGTCCCCTTGGCACGTCCCGCGGTGCGTCCCCATGGCGCGTCCCTTGGCACGTCGCCTGGCGCGTCCCTTGGGACATTCCGCGTCGCGTCCTCCTGGCATGTCCACCTGTCAATTAGCTCTGGGGCAGCTACTTTGTGCTCAGGCAGCTCGAGCTTAAGATCCAGATCAGTTTGGTCAGGACTCGGATGCAAATGAGGACTCGATCCAGAACGCTATACAAAGGGTGCGCGCATAAAGAAACCATCTACTTTTCGTCAGGGTATCCTGGGTTTCTTTGCTCCGCGCGATGCGCGTTGACTTCCCGCGGCCGTTGAAAGAGCTGCTGCGTTCAGGGTGCTCCAGGTTTCCCCTCAGGTGCACCTCGCGCACGGGTTCTCAGGGTTGGGTTTCTTGCGAGGGTTTCTTGCGGCCGCGCCCGCACTGTAGTGCACAATCGCGGCATGGCACATCGCAACTCAGTACGGTGCAGCACAGCACAGCCCTCGGCACGGTACATCAAGGTCGATACATTCAGCATTGCATTTGCCCGTCGCCCAATCAGGTGTTTTTTGAAGCGTTGCCATGCCTTACATTTCTATATTCTTTGCCGTGTTCGTGGGTCGATCCTGTTCGGTAGTACAAAGGCAGCGAGGCAGAGAGAGAGCGAGAGAGAGAGAGAGGGAGAGAGTTCCAGGCTCCCACGAGGACTCCCACGAGGTTTGTTACCAAGACGCATGCTAGCACCCGTCCGCAGCCATTTATTTAAAGGCTGCCGCCTCTGCCGAGGACCCCAATTGAGCGACGTATGTTTGCTTCGATTGTTGTCGGGGTCGGCTGTGTCTGTTCCGAAAGCCGTCGGAGTGCATCCCGCTGGAGATCGACGGGGACCATTCGCAGATCGCCCTGGAGGGCGTCGGGTTCAGCATCACCCTGTCCCAGCAGAAGCCGGACCGGCGCCCTGCGGTCGTCCGCCGCGAGTGCTGCCGTCGGCAATCTGGGCGCTCATTATGCGCGCTGTGCCACCTCATGCCGCTCATCGCCGAGGCGCGCCGGCAGGGGCGGCAGCGCGTGTTCACGCGGTCAGCGCAGCCATTCTTTCAGCGCATGAGGCAGCACGCCGAGCATGTAGGCATAGTGGACGCACACAAGTTAGGAACCCACGCGCTCAGAAGAGGCATGGCTCGAGACATAGTGGATTCTGGAGGCAGTCTAGCGACGCTGCTCCGGGCATGTGATTTGACGAGTTCGGCCTTTGCACAGTATTTGCGTGACCACCAGGTAGAAGAAGCATCGGCCCTGTCGCTGTTGATCGACCGCTCGGACTCCGAGTAGGGGCGAAGAAGAGAGGAACGAGAGGAAACATGAACAGCCCAGTCCATCCCTTCCTGGTTTGGCTTCTGCGCCTCATAACCCGCCAAGCCAGTCTGGGCTGTCCCGCGACGATCGCGACGATAGGGGTCAGACAACCGATCGCCTCACGACGGGTGCGGAGCTACGGCGACCCGCTTTCCCTGGTCTGACTATATGACCCATCGCGCGACCAGCGCGGGAACGCCAGCAGGCGGAGGAATGATAGTGGGTGTTCTCCTCCGCGGACAACGCGCGCGCGTTGTGCAAGTGGGAGAACCTAGCACGGTAATGGAACTTACAGTCAGGGGAGAAAGGGTAGTCCAGCGAGCAGGGATGACGGATTGTAGCATGGTGTTATCGTCTTGCTTATGCATTCGCAGGGGGCTAGCATTGCGCATGTGCTGGCATATTGCATTCATGTTGCGGTTGGGCACGGGCCCAGGCCCAGGCAAGGGCGTCGCGGGAGGTCACACTCGGACCTTGACTTGGCCTTCCCCTCCCTCGGGTGGGCGAGGGCCTGCAGGCGCAGGCAGGGCAAGGGCCCTCAGGTGAGGCGGCGTTTTCGGCCCGCCCACCCACAACCACGCCGCTGCGACCACAGTATGGTGCGATTCGGGCAACGGGCGGCTGATGCAAACCTCAGCAACGAGACTCCCACGGGCGATTCTCGGACCCACCCGCCCGCCCACGCCTCCGCGGAGCTACGGCGACCCGCTTTCCCTGGTCTGACTATATGATCCATCGCACGACCAGCGCGGGAACGCCAGCAGGCGGAGGAATGATAGTGGGTGTTCTCCCGAGGAGCAACCGCGCATCGTAGGCTTGCTTGTGACGTTCGCTGACGCGATCAAGAGTAAGGACGAGGAAATTGCGGGCCTTGAGGCAGAGGGCAAGGACCCCGGGCCGCAGGAAGAGGCGAGACAGCGCCTACACAGATTCACGTCTGCGACGAACCGACGAATCCACAAGGGCTTTCCAGAGATGTTGACGCATCTATTGGAGAAGCCCGCTGTGCACTGCAATCTCGACTATGTCAGCTTAAACCTGCATGGGCAAATTTCAAGACTTGTTCGGCTGATGTTCAACGAGCCCGCCCCTGCCGACGCAGCAAAGGTAAGCGAGGCGCGCCCGGGATGCCTGAACATTCGCCCGAGCGTCTTCATTAAGGCTTGCGACTATGTGTTCCGACCGATATGCTTGGAGCAATCTCCTTTGTATTTCTTTATGGCAGCGACTGAGGCTCGGACGACGCGGGGCTCTTCTTCTTTACCTTGGGCGCCCCTTCAGGTCGATGGAGACGGTAGAGTCGCCGTGCTCGGCGAATGCAAGACGGGCGACAACATCTCCAGCAGCCACAGCTTCAGTCAGCGCCCCGCCCACAACATTCGACGTCAAAGTACGGCGACGCCCGTGCTGAGCAAGAGGTTCGCTGAGTCGGGGAAGGAAGACAACATACCTTTGATGACTGCTTCTGGGGCCAGAATTCACGAGTACGCCTACTACCTGCACCTCAGATTAGTGACCGCCTGGCGCATGCCGATATACCATGGTCGCCCTGTGAAGGCCCCTGGCAGTGCATCCAGCGCATGCGACGAAGGCATGTATGCACTCACGGTGATGGTGCTGTTTCGTCCATACAGATCTTTGGAGGAAATCGTGGACTGGTGCGGCCTGCGCGTCGACGTCCTCGGAGACTCTGACAGTGTCTGGCGATTTGCTTATGAAGGGTACTTGCGGTGGCGGCGTCGGGTTGAGAGCTCGGCTGCCAGGTTCTACGATGGCGCCGTCGACAAACAACCGGATCCGCTGTCGCAGGAATGGTGGGATTGCATGATTTACGAACGCGTCCGCAATTTCGACGGCGCACGCGCGCGCCATTCCGCTGACGCGGGCAAGGCGCCAGCTAATCTGCCCGCTCTGCCGCCGTTGCTTCCTGTCGGCTCGGCTCGCGGCGACGACGGCGCTGATCTGCGCGACGGTGCCAGCGACAGTGACGGCGTCGCATCCACATCATCAGAAGATGCTGCGCGCGTGCTCGACGAAGCCGCTGTCGTGGCGGATGTCGAACCGCGACATCGGCGAGTGGCCTCCGCCGCAGACCCGCCGTCGAGACTCTATGGTTCCATGCCCGAGGGGTCGAGGCTGGAGGACTTCCACGACCCGCCGCTGGCTCGCGCCCACGCGCGCAATGCCGAGGAGAAGCGCTGGCAGAATTTCGCTGAACATGCTCGAGAGGCATTCTCCTCAAACGTCGCGAGTTTTGATTTCGTGAACAGCAGCTCCCAGTGGGAGATTCGTGAGGTAGACGCAGTGGAATCGGCCAAGCAGCCGGAGCTCTTTTTCAAAAGCGTCGACAAACTCCACTTCAACGCGAGTGGCAACTTCGCCGTCCAGCCATCCTGCAGGAGGGGTAAATTTTACGGGGAGCTCGCCAACATCGTCGAGGATTGTCGCGTGTCCTTGGACTTGACGCCATCCGACACTATCGCGATGCGAGCTGCCTTCCACCTGCTGCAGCGGGGTTTGCTCAACGTCCCAGACGTCGGCGGCATCAATGCGAGGGCGAGCCCGTACTTTTCTGTGGGACGCAGCTTGGTTGCAGGGCCACATGAGTGATGAGTGACGCCGCCAAGGCTTCCTCGCTGATGTTGATTACCCTGGTCGGCAGTTCAAGAATTTCGCCCTCAGCATTGTCGGGCCTGGCGGAACTGGGAAGACGGCTGTCCTGAAGATGTCGGAGGCCCTCGCGACGTTCTTTGTCGGCGGTGATCCCGTGAAGAAGCTGGCTCCGTCCAAAGCGGCGGCGCGCCTGCTGGGTGAAGATGCGCCCCATTCCCTGTGAAAACTGCCTTTCGGAAATGCTTGCCATGAACTTCTGCGGAGACTTTCTGCAACTACCGCCAGTCGACAAGGACGGGAGTCGCCGAAGTTTGGCGATGCCGCACGATGATGTCGACGATGATGCGGACGGCGGCGACGACGCCGCCACGGTGCAGCAGAAACGTAGCAAGCGGGTCGAGGGCCGCCAGGGTTTCGATCTGTGGAGCACGTTGAAGCGGGTGGTCAGCCTGACTGTAAACGTGCGGTCTCTTGGTGCTTTGAGCCGGCGACAGGCAGAGGTGAGGAAGGGGCGCATCTCGGACAAGCTGTGGGAGGTGTACCAGTCGAGAGTGATTGGCCAGAGCAGTCCCGACCCACGCTTGCGCGCCAAGGACTCGCCGTTCACGCAATATGATGTGCATGTCATCGCCCACCGCCATAAGATCATAATTATGCTCTCGCTGGAGAACGCGAAGGAGCAGAGTAGAAAGAGACGGGTGCCGTTGTACGTGGTGCAGGCTCACGACGAAGCGCTAAACGTCAAGGACTCTCACTTGCTCACGGAAGACGTGCGGAAAGAGCTCCTCGGTCGAGCGAACCCCGACCAAACGAAGCAATTGCCTGGCTTTTTGCCGCTTTACGAGGGAATGCGAGTATTTATATCATCCAAGGATTGCGTGCGTCTCGGACTTATGAAGGGCTGCCCTTGCATAGTCGAAGGTGTAGTACTCTCGGGCGACGAAGAAGATCCTGGGCGACTCTTGTCAGGCCATCCGCGCCACTTGAAGTGCACGCCGGCTAGTTTGATACTCAGGGCGGAAGGTGCCCCGTGGCCGTTGCACTTTTTGATGTTCCTGCCGATTTACCAGAATATGCAGATCGGAGAGGTCTCTTTCAGCTCCGGCCGGCGCGCAACTGCCGGAGCGTCCGCGCGGGGGAGGAGTACGTCAAAGTGCGCCGTGCGGCATTCCAGGTGATGCCCGCCGACACGATGACAGCGCACGCGGCCCAAGGCAGCGCCTTCCACGCCGTCATCGCTGACATGCAGCGACCACCTAATTTGGATATCCACAAGCACTGGTTGGCCTGCTACGTGATCCTCTCGCGTGCCAGGGCGCTAGAAGGCTTCCTCGTACTTCGACCTGCCGCAAGAAAGGAGCTGGAGTCTGGGCCGCCGCAGTGCATGATTGACGAGCTGGATCGTTTGCTGAGGCGGGAGGGCGTAACCACGCAAGAGCTGATCGATTACACATTCCGTCTGGAGGTCGATGTTCCGCCCGAAATTCAGGCAGGGGTGCTGGCCAAGACTGCAGCGGCGGACGAGGAACGGCGAGTTCGCGATCGGAGCAGTGGTCCTGGCGCTGGCGTTTCAGAGGGCGCTGGTATGTCGGGGGGCGCCATGAGCATCACTCCGCAATGGCGGCGGACGAGGAAAACGGCGCTGTCGTCGCCTGCCAGCGCTCAGTCACCAGCGGGCCCATCGCCAGGCGCGCCTGCTCAGAGGCGTCCTCGCGTGCCGGACCCGGGTCCTGCAGCAGGCGTTACTCTGGGTGATCGGACTTCTGCGTTGCTCTCTCAAGATGGCTTTGACCACGCCGTGACGTCCTCCCGGGCGCTGCCGCAGAGCTGCGCGACTCCGCCAGCTGTCGAACATTCTCTGGGTGATGGCGTGACTTCCGCTGCTGCGGCGACGCAGGCGATGCCAGAAGCCCCCGGACCGACCTGCTTCCCTTCCGATCCTTGCCGCTGCTTCTGCTGCAGCGGTCGCCGCGATTGCTCTCGGGACTGGGGTCGCTGGCGGCGCTCTATTGCCGCAGAAACGCGTCAGGCCAGACGAGAACGACGCTTCCCAGAGAACGGCGGACGCTGCGGAAAAAAACGCCGGCACGCCGAGAGAGCACGCGGCCTCGGCGCCGCTGCCGCGGCGCAGCTAGAGCAGCAACCTCGCCCAGGTTCTGCGGCGCATCAGAGCGGGGTGACCGAGAGATTCGCGCGCGGCTCCCGCACCAGGCTGCGCAAGGAACTGGAGAAGAAGAAGGTCTGGCGATGAAAACGGCGCCGCCCAGCAGGCCACGTGTTCTGGTGACGCCAGCGCTTCCAGACATACGCCTGCTGCATCTCTGCCCGAGACACCAGAGGCGCCTGAAACATCGACTTCGACGTGCTCATGGCTGCCCACCCCTGGGGTTCATGCGCCGCGTAAAGTGTGCGCGTTACGCGCTCGTACTTGCTCCATGGACAAAGCTGTCGGATGCTCCCTCTGCTTCCGCGCGTGTCACGAAGACTTCACGCGCGAGCTGTGCCCCGAGACGCCGTGCTCAGATTGCCTCAGCATTGGGGTTATTGCGGTGGATGGTTCAGCTATGTGTGCTGATTCGCAGCGGCGACACAGATGCCATGCCTGCAACAAAGTCGGGCGTTGCAACGCGTCTCAGGCCTGTTCGAAGATCGAAAACATCAGCGATGACAGCGGTCCGCGCAGATGAGCCTGCCAGACCTTCGTCTATATACAAAGAGATCCGTGCCGAATGGTGAATGTAGGTAATTCCTGCTACGTCAACGCTATCCTGCAGGCCATCTTTTCGTTGGAGATTCCAGTTGAGTTTTGCGGCAAGTTGGGGGTCGGCGACAGCGGTGACGGCAAGCTGGTCGCCACCTTCAACCAGACCCAAGAAGGCAGAGCGTTCCGTCCTGTGCGCTTCGTTGATGATCATCATCAAAATCAGCAAGATGCTCATGATTTCCTCCAGAGGAAAATTCTCTACGCAGCTCTCACGTGGGCTGCATTCTGCAGCGGCGCGGACGCGCCGCGCCTTCTGTGCTCACACTGCGGGAGGCGCGGTCGATCTGCAGCCCGGGAGGATTTTTGGTCGCTTTCGATGCCGCTTTCGGCGCCTGATGGCTCTGTCTACACCACTGCCCTCGCGGCGCTCACTGGCTGCATGGGCGCGCGGCAGGTCGTGGAGCTCGACGATTGGACCTGCGCGGCGGAAGCGCGCGCCTCTCGCGGGGCCGGCGCTGGCTACCCGATAAAGACCACAAATATTGAGCAGTGGCCGGGCATGCTCATCCTCCACCTGCTGCGCTGGACAGCGACCGGGGAATTGGTGCAGCATGCCGCGGCGCCTGATCTGCACCTGGCGATTCGCCGGACCGAGCACGCACTGCGCGCAGTTGTTACTCGCGAGGGGGTCGCGCCACAGTCCGGCCATTATATTATTTTCGCGGCGCGTGCCGGGCGCTGGCACGTCTGCAGCGATGAGGACATCAGGCTGGCCACGCAGAGCGAGATGATCTTCTTTGTGCGGAGCAGGAGCGTAGGTCACACGTACCTTCTGTTTTTTACGAGAAGTTCGCGGAGTGATTCGATCTTTCGAGACCGCTTTGACATGCTCTGTGAACCCGCTGTCAGTGCTCTCGCGTGCTGGGCCAGTGGCGTCGGAGCGGAGCGAAAAGGAAAGACCACTATCGTCGCCTGCGTTCGCCCCCAATTCATGCGTCGATGATTGCACCAGTCGTTCATCCCAGCAGCTTGTCTGGACGCATGTGCAAAGAGAGTTTCAACTTAAGGCAGACCCAGTTGTTTTCTTTTCCACCCCGTCTGCCACTTTCTCTCCCTCCGTGGACTTCAGGGGTCGCGAAGCTCGCCGTGGGAACAATCCCGAGCCTGCCGTCGTGAGAGAGCGCTGTGATATGCTTTCCGTGTCCTTTCCTCTGGCCCCACCCTGTGGGAGATCTCAAGCGATGTTAGCGCCCTTGGTTGGAACGCCGATGTGGCCGCTATGGAGCTGGAGGAGCCTGATCGCGTGTATCTCCAAACCTGCCCATTCAGAAACGATGATGTCCCTAAGACACTGTTCTAATATGCGGATGCCTCATATCATCCAGCTATTAGTTCGGAAAACAATCGAGCTGTCGTCCGAAGGTTGTGTGCGTCGCGGAGTGCGAAGATGGCCAGTTCTCCTTCTGCCGATGCCTTCCTGGTCGAATCCTTCTGCTAGGGCCTACTTGGTCCATGGCTTTGCTAGGGCGAGGCTACACATGAACTTCGCTCAGGACATCCCCTTAAAAAGCTTTGAGCAGGCCTCGTCGTCGTCATCGTCGTCGCGGCGATTCGGATTATGGGGAGAAGTTATATGGCGCTTTCGGTGCCCAGGGAGAAGTTATATGGCGATTTCTGCTGCGGTGTTGCGATCGCCCCTACCCCCTTTATATTGCGATTTCTACTGCGGTGTTGCGACCGCTGTTGTATATGATCGTCCTTGTCTATGACATTCCTTGTGTATGATGTCTCTTGGCAGGGCTCTTGGGGGCCTCTTTGGCCGTGCTGGAGGCCTTTTGGGCCGTCTGGAGGCCATCTTGGGCCGCCATGGAGCGATTCTGGGCTATCTTGGTGGCCTGGGTGGGCTTCCTGGGCCGTCATTGAAGCCCTGGGCAATCACAAGGATACGCCATGGCCGCCCAGAGACCCCTGGGAGTAGGGGCGGCGCAGTCGCCTATATGCGAGACGGCGGGTGGGCGGCCCTTTAGTTGTAGATGATCATGTTTGAATATAGCCTTCATTGTATATGATCTTCCTCGTGAACGATGGTCCTTGTATATGTTTCTTCCTTATACTATGCAATTGTATATGATCGTATTGTGAGGCTCTGTTGGGCAGTCGTCGTGAGGGCCGTCTGCTCCTCACGTTCCTCCATCTCCTTCGCCCCCTCCTACTTGAACACATCAGATAAGTAAGCGTTTCGCTCGAGACATCCCCCGTGCAAATGCTTTTGAGGAGGTCTTCTACAACGTACCAGAGCCTCTTCCTCCTCTGTGTGTGCGTGCGCGTGTGTGCCTTCGGACGGGCCTTCGAACACATCAGATAAGTGAGGGATAGACGGACGACATTGGAGGCGCACAGAGAAGTGAGGAGGATAATCAGGACTCTCCTTGTGGACGTTCGGGGAGCGCGTGTCCATAGGTATCCCCCGTGGACGTTCCGAGAGCTCGGCTACATTACATTTTATCGTGATGATGCTGCACGTTCTTGCGCAGCTCTGTCCTTTCACGCGTTTCCCGTTCATGTCAGGAAAGGTCCCCCTCCCCCTCTGGAGCCCAACATTTGCTTCTTGGCGCCCTATTGGGGCGTTTTTGGGGCGGTCTTGGGCGCTATTGGGGCCGTGTTGGGGCCTTCCTGGGCACCTCTTGGGCAATCTTGGAGTCATTTTGAGGCCTCAGGGAACCATCGGAAGCGGTTACCTTGGTGGTTGCCTTTTGCCGTCGTCGTCGTCCTCGTCCTCGTCGTCGTCGTCCTCGCCGCCGCCGTCGCCGCCGCCGTCGTCGTCGTCGCATTGGTTTTCGTATTCGTCGTATTCCTCTCCATCGTCGTCGTAGTCGTTATGCTCGACACCATCGTGTCCAATTTCCTCCCGCGCCCTCTTCCTCTTTTTGCTCCTTCTCCTTCCCCCTCCTCCGCTTCCTCCTCCTGGCGCGATGCGGGTGTCTTTTGCGGGGCAATTTGCTTGATCGTGCGGGCAGCGATGTTTAGCGTTTCCCCCGTCGGGGTCGTGGTTGTGAATTAGCCACGATTAGCCACGAAATAGAGACGGCAATACATCGATTTTAGCCACGAACAACCATGTTTAGACACGATGTTTTTGGACACGACAATTTGTTTCAGACATGTACAGATGTTCAGACAGGTTTAGCCATTCGTAAGCCACGCCCAAGCGAGAAGCACGCGCGGCGAAGCCCAGCTATAGAACTTATGCTTTAAAACAGTTCTGCCCCGCGCTCAAGCGAGAGCAACGTCCGGGCTACACGCGGCTAGAAATCTTGGCCGCGTCTTCCAGGGAGAGGCCCCCAGCCCTCGCGGGCGCCCTCTGCGCTCCGCCCCGGCGGCGCGCGCTCGAGGCCCTCGGGGGGCGCGCCTCCGGGCTCCGCGCGCGCGCGGCGAGGCCGCGGAAGTGCTCGGGGGCTGCGCCGCGGTGGCCCCCGGCCCCCGCGCTCCGCGGCGCCTCGCGCGCCGGCGGCGAGGCCCGAGCCCTGCCCTCGCCTCCGGGGGAGGGGCGGGCGAGGCCGCAGCGCTCGGCGCGCAGGCTTCATGGCGGCCTCTGGGGCCCGCCCCCGGGGCCTGGGGCCGTCGGGAGCGGGCCCGGGGTGGCCAGAGGCACCAGGTGGGGGCCCGAAACGGGGCCCTGGGCGCCGATTCTGAGCGGGCTGGGCCTCGTCGATGCGCCCTCGCCGATCCACGATGCGGGCCACTCCATGGGCGGCGGGGGAAGGTTCCGGAATTCGTCGAGGACGCGGCGAAAGCCGAGCCCACCCCCGCCTCCCATCGACTCTGGGGGGAATCGACGGTTTGCGGGGGTAGTCGCCACCTCTGAAGCCGCTGAGGCCCTCCGGGCCCGCGCGAGGTGGTGCTCTTGAGCTCTTGAGGCCTCGGGGGGCCTCCGTCTCGGGGGCACCATTTGGCAGGGCACCCTCACGGTGTCCCTGGGCCCAGGGCCACCTCAAAGGATTCCGCTTCGTTTCGTCCGAACTTCGATTCGTGGGGGGGATCTCGTGGCTGGGGCCGCGATGCCCCCGCAGATTTCATGGCGCTGCTTCTTTTCGCAAGGCGTCCCCGGCTCCCCCCCCCCCTGGGGGCCGCGCGCATGGCCACGATTTGCGCCCTCCCTTCTCGGACACCCGGCCTCCTGGGTACCCCCGAAGGGACACCTCGAACACTCGAGGGTCATCACCTCGAGGCAACGCGCGAACAGCGGCGGCCGCGCCGCGCCGCGCCGCGCAGCCGCCCGCGGGCGGCCACGCCCCAGCACCGAGGAGGAGGAGGAGGAGGAGGAAGGAGGAGGAGGAGAGGAGGAAGAGGAGGAGGAGAGGAGGAGGAGGAGGAGGACGATGAGGAGGAGAGAGGAGGAGGAGGAGGAGGAGGACGAGGAGGAGGAGGAGGAGGAGGAGGAGGAGGAGGGGGGAGGAGGAGGAGGGAGAGGAGGATCGGGCCGGACGAAAGGGGGGGATTGGGAAAGGGGGGGTTACGAAATTTGCTGCATGCAGCCGGTTTCGGCCTCACCGAGGGGCCCAGTCCTCGATACATAGCCGCCTCCGGCGCCGGGAGGCGCCGGGAAAATCGGCTACGCGAGCTGATTCTCACCCCCCCCCTTTGCTATCCCCCCCTTTCGCCCGACCCGAGAGGAGGACGATGAGGAGGAGGAAAGGGGAGGGAGGAGGAGGAGGAGGAGGAGGAGGAGGAGGAGGAGGAGGAGGAGGAGGAGGAGGAGGAGGAGGAAGGAGGAGGGAGAGGAGGAGGAGGGACGATGAGGAGGAGGAAGAGGAGGAGGGAGACGAAAAGAGAGGTTTGAGGAGGAAGAGGAGGAGGAGGACGATGAGGAAGAGGAGGAGGAGGACGATGAGGAGGAAGAGGAGGAGGAGGAGGAGGAGGACGATGAGGAGGAGGAGGAGGAGGAGAAGGAGGGAGGGGAAAAGAGAGGGTTGAGGAGGGGGAGGGAGGATCCCCTTTTCGGGGGATGTCCCTCGCAGCCGCGCCGGCCGCCGCGAGGACGAGGACGGGGCCTTGCGGCACAACCCGAGCGGCATGAGGGCGCTGCGCCAGGGGGGGAGGGCGGGGGAGACGGGAAGAGAGGGGGGAAAGGGGAGGAAAGAGGAGGGAGGAGGAGGAGGAGGAGGAGAAGGAGGAGGAGGAGGAGGATCCGCCTGCCTGATCCCCTCAACCGTGCGCCTACCAGCTGAGGCGGCGAAGAGCCCACCCATTCCCCAGGCCTTTCCTGGACCAGCCTCATGAGCTGTAGCCCTGAATGGCATCCCGAGCCTGTACCTGAAACTGTTTGGCTTCAGCTGTCTCCCCAACATTTCGCGCACCGGCGCAACCCCAGCCCTGTGGTCGAAGGTGTATCGCGCCTGCTTTGCTCGAGCGGATCCCCGCACAACAGCCGAGGACTGCCCTCCGCCCTTCTTGCACTCCTTGATTTCAGCGCTGTGGCAGATTCAGGAGGAAAAAAACACACAGACACAAGTAATCGTCGATTCCCCAGAAAATATGGGAAAATATGGGCAGTGGGGGGGAAGACAGAAACCCAGAAAATATGGGAAAGTATGGGGAATATGGTTATTTGTGTGTATTTATTTGTGTGTCCCAGGGCCCCTTCACAGATATCGGGCTCTGGCTGCGCCTTCCGCCTCTCGCTGAGCTCGACAGAGGAGAGGTTGCTGCCCTCCCAGCGCTGCAGCTGATGACGTCTGGCTGCGGCTTGGCCATCTCGCTGGGTAGCGATAGAGGTTGCTGCCACTTTTCCCCCTTCTCGCCCACGCCGCTCCCAGCA